GAGCACAGACTTTTGCATAACGCATAACACATGAGGCATAAGAAATTAAACCAACCAGAGTTCTCTATTACACGGAAGGGAAAGAAACGGAGAACTTCGATTGGTACATATTCTTATGTATTACGTGTTATGCGTTATGCAAGAGTCTGTGCTCCCCGCTTAAGTACTTATAACCATAAGGTGCCTTTTCATGCTGACGCTCGACGCTCATTTTCAGCGTCAAAATAAATCACACTGGGTGCTTATGGCTCCTTTCCTTTTAGACACAGTCGACACACTTGACACAAATCGATAGACGTCGCTTTCCATTTACAATTTTGTTCAAACTCAATCGACACACTTCGCCTCTGCTCGGGAGGAGAGTCAGGGCCTCTTTCATCAACCTCCGGTTAAGCTAATTGACGATTACGGTAGTGCCAACGTAATAAAACGAATCAGTCATATCGGTTGTAACAGAGCATCTTAACCTAATATTCCTGTCGTGTTATTTTAGGCAAAGTATCAAGTGTAAATGGAAATGATTAAAAAGTCGATTTAAATAAAATTTTTAAGATACATATTCAACGTGAGAAAATTACATTACGTATTGATGTAAAAATAGTGTTTCATGTAAAAATGGATGAAGTTATTAATTTTTTACTTTTTGATGAATATAATGATATAAACTTGAATAATGTTGAAAGAAATGAAAGAAGGCCACGTGTAATCAGATCAAGAATTAATTATATGGAAATATTTGATGAAATAGATTTCCAAAAAAGATTTAGAATATCTCTAAAAATAATTTTATGGTGCTATTAGAAAGAATTGAAGGTGAAATACGCCTTAAATCTGATCGGTACGTATGAATTATATACGTTGAGAGTATAGATATAAATACATTTTTGTATTAGCAATATTTTATAGTAATAATGTTTTTAGTAATAATCCTATTTCACCTGTCATACAATTACTGGTCGCTATAAGATTTTATGCAACTGGAAGTTATTTGATAACTGTTGTTGTTTTTTACGGAATAAGGCCGACTGTTACCAACGCCGATTAACTTAATCGACGATTAATTCAATCAGCAGTGTAGCCAACAGCAAGTCTGTATATCGTTCTTCTTTATCTCATCTTCGTGATATTAAACATAAGTCATTAAATTTAATCATAGCATCTAATTTTTTTTAGTTTTAACATGGATGAAATTATTAATTTTTTATTATTTGATGAATACGAAGATTATAATCTTATAGTTAGAAATCGACAACGAAAATCACGCATATTTAGACCGCGTATGAATTATTTGGAATTTTTTGATGATGCCAATTTTAGTAGAAGATTTGTAATATCGAAACACAGCTTCAATATGCTATTAGAAAAAATTTATGTAAAAATACAACATAATACTAATCGGTATGTATAAATATTGTCAATACAACAATTTAAAAATATGTATAATAATAACAATGAAACAAAGAAATAAGTTTATTACAAAGAAATCAATAAATATTAAAAATTTTATACACATATAATTTGGAAATGCATGTATTTAGCTTAATTTAATCAATATTCTCTCTATTCTGTGACTAATATGAACAACACAAATGTTAACATAAATTATTAGATTATTAACACACATGAACAGATATTTATATATATGTATGAACATATGTTAAAAATAGAAATAACGCCATTCCATCTATAATCCGATTAATAGTTACTCTACAATTTTATGCAACTGAATCGTTTTTTATGACTATTGGCGATTTTTGTGGCATCAGCGAATCAAGTGCTCATAAAAATTGTTCATCGAGTATCTCCTGCCATTGCTGCATTAAAAAATGACTTTATAAACTTTCCTACTTCATCAGAACAAATTTATTAAAATCAGCAAGAATTTTTCCAAACAGCTGGATTTATATATGTTATTGGTTGTATAGATTGTACACATGTGAAAATTCAATCATGTGGTAAGAATAATTTTAGCATATAAACTTATCTTGTTTCTGTTAAATTTCTTTATATTCTAGATGGAGGAAACAATGAGTTATATCGTAACAGAAAAGGTTTTTTTTTCAATAAATGTACAAGTCATTATTAATGCAAGATTGGAAATTACTGATATAATAGCGCGTTGGCCAGGATCTACACATGATTCCACTATTTTCAATAATTCAAGAATTAAAACATTGTTTGAAGCACAGATAGATTCGGAGACGGATTACTCCTTGGAGACTCCGGTTATCCAAATTTATCATGTCTAATGACTCCATTACTACATCCCACAACACCAGCAGAGCATCTTTATAATGAAGCACAAATTCGAACACGCTCAAAAATTGAAAGATGCTTTGGAATTTGGAAACGACGATTTGGAATTTTATCAGTTGGAACAACGTTTAAAACAATTGAAAAAACACTTTCTATTATTGTGGCAACAGCTATTTTACATAATATTGCTCAACAGGAAATAATTCCAGCTGCAATTAATCCTCAAATATATAATAATACCATTCTACAAACGCAACATATAGATAATACACATATTAATAAAAGAGATGCAATTTTGGAATATTTTAATAGGTAATGTTGATATTATCCAATTATAATATATCTTAGTTTCCGCGATTTTTTTGCTTAAAAAACTCATTTATCTCGATATCAAAAGCAAAAAATATGTCAATCAAAGTATCATCTAAATGTGAACCGCGGAAACTAAGTTTAGCACCTAATATAATATAAATATTTCACATTTATGTCTATATACATATATTAATATATTATAAAACATATATTTTTGTCTTAACAATATTTCATTCTTCTTTTATGAAAAACTACACATAAAATAATAATATTCAATAATACATAAAAACATTTTATATTACGTAACATATTTTTAAATCATAAACTTAGGAATTATTTATGAATAACACAGTCTTGTAAAATAAAAACATTAAACATTAAAATTATAATATTTAATAATACTGTTTATATAAATATACTGTTATTATAAGTTGCATACCAGGTATGTAAATATGAAACCGGAATTTTTAAATAGAAAATACACGTTTATTGCATGAAAATGATAAAAAATATTTTATTCGAAGTATTGCCCATCGCTAGTTATACATTTTTCCCATCTGTCTGACAATTTGTGGATGCCAAGCCAAATAATTGTCGCTCTTTTGAGCCAAACTAGTCATCTAGCCATTTTCGTACATCTTCGTAAGAAGTGAAGCGCTGTTGAGCAAGTGCGTTTCCCATCGATGCAAATAAGTAGTAATCGGACGGAGCCAAGTCTGGTGAGTAAGCCGCATGCGAAAGTATTTCCCAACCAAACGCCTCAATCGTTTCCTTGACCAGTTTTGCTGTGAGTGATGGTGCATTATCATGAAGCAAAATCACTTTGTGTTGCCTTTTTTGATATTCCGGTCGTTTTTCACGCAAACCTTGATCATTTGTTGTCGGTAGCGTTCAGTATTAACGGTTTCGCCAGGTTTTAGCAGCTCATAATAGATCACACCTTTCTGATCCCACCAAACACAGAGCATTGTCTTCCGTCCATAGCGATTTGGCCTTGCAGTCGATGTGGATGGTTTGCCTGGAGTTACCCATGATCTTTTACGCTTAGGATTCTCAAAATGTATCCACTTTCCATCGCCAGTGACAATTCGATGGAGAAATGACTTTCTTTTGTACCTGGCGAGCAGCATTTCGCAAGTGGTTTTTCGGTTTTTCTGCTGTCTTTCATTCAGTTCATGTGGAACCCATTTTCCCATCTTCTGGATCTTTCCCATGGATTTCAAACGTATGGAGACGGTTTCTCGTATCATATTCAATTGATCCGCGAGTTGTTGTTGAGTTTGAGCGTCATCCTCATCCAACAATGCTTGCAATTCGCTGTCTTCAAACTTTTTCGGTGGTTTTCCACGTTCTTCGTTTCTCACGTCAAAATCACCAGCTTTGAATTTTTTAAACCACTCAAAGCACTGTGAATTTCCAAGAGCATGCTCACCGTGAGCTTCGACAAGCATTCGATGCGATTCTGCAGCAGTTTTCTTCAAATGGTAACAGAAAATCAATGCTGTCCGCAAATCATAGTTTCCAGGCACAAAATTCGACATGTTCAACGCTATTACAAACTATACTGTTGTATGAAACTTGTATTGTTGGGAGTTGAAAGTCTTTGTCAGATGTCAGAACAAGGAAATGGCGTCAATGACGCGGTCTGACGGCAACTTAGGGTGCGTTCCGAAATTTGCTGACAATGCTGACAGTACCACTACTGAAATCACTACATTTTAGCCGGTCCGAAATTCGCAGCAGAACTGACAGCAGTTATAAATCAGAACGCATTTGCAGTAAATCGAGCGTGATATGCATATAACTTAACCTAATTTATTAAATTTCATTGGATTCCATGTAATTCCGTTTCCGTGCTTGCTTCTGCGATTTATGAGTACTAGTTTTAACTTAAAAAAGAAAATTCCGTTATTGTGCAACTAATGGCAAATGAAATACCGATTATAATTGGCATTCAGAATGTCATATCTAATGTCATATGTATGGAATATAATTCCGACAGTTCTTCAGATGATGACGATGAGTATATTTTGAATATCTTAAAGCAAATATCGAAACGAGGATCATTAATACCAAGAGCACGCATAAAAAATTATATTGGAAATGTAGTGCAAAATCTTTCAGATATAGGATTTAAAAAACACTTTAGGTAATAATGATTTAAATCGTAGAATTTATTATTACAATAATTAAATCTTAAGATTTACGAAAAAAAATTAATTGAAAAAATACTTTTATAAAAAAAATAATAATATAAAATGAATAACTAACTACAGGATGTCGCGAGGAACATTTAATTTTGTATTAGAAATTATAAAACCACAATTAAAAAAGAAAGAGGATCAAAATCGTAATCAATCTGGTCGAAATACTATTAGTCCTGAAAAACAACTACTAATGACGATATGGACACTTGCAACACCAGATTCATATCGGTCAAATATTAAATATTAATAATATATATATTATATTCTTTAATCATCTTGTATTATTGACAAACTTTTCTTTCAGATCTATATGTGATCGTTTTGATGTAGGTAAAGCTACTGGTTGGCGATCAGTAAAACGAGTTGTAAATGCTTTGATCAATCTTCGAAATTATTATATTAAATGGCCAACAGAAGAAGAAGCAATGGAATGTGCTACATTTCTTGAAGAAAAAAAAGGATTTCCTGGAATAATTGGCATGATTGATGGAACTCATATAAAAATAGAAGCCCCACAAGAAAACCATGAGAGTTACATTAATCGTAAAGGATACCATTCCATTCAATTGCAGGTAGTAATATTTATATTGTTTATTACATAATTCAAATAATTTAAGATTAACTAATAATTAAAATTACAGATAGTTTGCAATCATAAGATGGAGTTCATACACTGTTATGTAGGCTATCCTGGCTCAGTGCATGACCAAAGAGTATTTAATGTGTCAATGCTACAAGATTTTTGCAGCGATCCAATTAAGTTTCCACGTGATACTCATTTAATTGGTGATGCTGCTTATAAAATTTTCAAAACTTTACTTGTACCGTACAAAGATAATGGTAAATTAACTGAAAGACAAAAAAATTATAACTATTGTTTATCTTCCATAAGAATGACAGTAGAACGTAGCATTGCTCTTTTAAAAACACGGTTTAGAATTCTTCTTGATAAACTACCAATGAGAAGAATTGATCTGATTCCTGATTACATCATGGCCTGTTGTGTTTTACACAATATATGTTTGATGAAGAATGACATGATTGAAATCCCTATAATAGTTGAAGATCAGATACAAAAT